AGATATGCATATTAAAGAGTGTCACTACTTACAAGAAAGAAAACTTTGATCAGTTGATGTGATACTATATAAATTTACTCTTACAATTTCATCCACTCATACTTGCTTCTCTGCCCCGATTTCAATGAAAGAAAGAAAACTTGATCTAATGCAAATTGATAATTCTAAAAGAGTTCGTTAATTAGGAAAACACCAGAAAAGAAAATGGATTGAGAGGTGGGGGTTCTCTATAGATTCATGTAATCGAGTTACTTAAACGAGTTTATATAACTAGTGCTGTATAGGCGTGTGACCCAGGCAGGGCCAGGAAGAGAAACATCACAAGACAAAATGAGGCAGGAACAGGATCGTCCCGCCTCGTCTGTAGCGTGTGGTATCGACCGACCAAAGAGTTGCACTCTTATCTTATTCTAAACTCCAATATTCTAGTCATGATCTCTGTATTTTCGATTCCCTTTCCCTACCATACTTGCTTTGAGATGAGATATATAAGGGGAACCTTTGGATTTGCCGGTTAAATCACTTCTCTGATTGACGTTTAAGCTATACATTTGGTTTCATAGAAATAATCAAAAGTAATTAAAGAGGGAAACAGAAAATTGAGGAAAAGTTTTTGACAAAATCTGTGAAACTCCTTAAAAACTTACCCTCAACTTTGTGTTTCTCTCTTATTTTTCTATCAAACCAAACACAACCTCATTAGCTATTACCCAGGCCACCACCTAGATTCCTTTTCTCCTGAATTTCAAAGCAGTCTCTCCTGATCAACTCCTTTGTTTTGTCATTTGTATTGCTTCTTTTTCTTCATCAATCCAACTTTTTCAGACCCATGAGCTACACAGATCATATGCACCGATAGAATTTCTGGTGCAACGTAACGCCCGATTGCTGGACCTTCATTGCTAACTAGTTATCGGTCATAGCTAGATTGATGTCGTTACCCCAAAAATTGTTTTGTTTCATAGAGATATGCCGGATCTGTTGAACCAATAAGATGTATACATTCACCTATCTCACAAAACAACTACCATCTCTGCTTTATCCAGTGCAAAACCCAGATTCTTAAATGCCTTCGTTTCAGAGGGAGAGCTTAAATAATCTTCAACTTTGTTGGCCGTGCAAATACACGGCTGCTTCGTGCAAAGGGAAAGCCTGTGCATAGAGCTGAACTGACCACACGAATGGTTGCAAATCCCAACTCTTAGTGAAGACCATTACCCATTTCATCGAAAGAAGCTTGTTGGGCGGAACTCGGGAAGCTGAAAATTCGTTCCTCCATTAGTTGCTAGTATGAAATGATGTCTCAGATCAGAGAAGTTTGAAGCAAATATATCTAATTAATCCCCACCACAAACTGTGACTGTGATATGAAAGAAGGATATCGTCTCTGGTCTGGTCTGGTCTGGTCTGGTCTGATCTGGTAGGTAGGTAGGTAGGTAGGTAGGTAGGTATAATAATGTCAGTGTGCAAGGAGATGAGGATGAGACAGGAAATACAATAATGAAATTTTGTAGAAAACATTCTCAGGGGAACGACAAGGAAGAAGACACAAGCCGCAGTCCAATCGACTGGGGTCCGCCTGCATGTCCATACACTGATTAAGAAGTGAGTTGTAGTCGGGGCCGGCCTCGGCCGGGGGGGAGACAACAATATCCATATAACATCCATAAAGCCTGCTTACCTCAAACCTTTCTACATTGGATTGCCATCTTTTTGCTCCTTTTCTAACCGTATGTTTCCTTTTTTTTTCCTTCTTTCTTTCAGGTATATTTGTTGAAAATGACTTGAAAATCCATGCCCAACGCCATGTTTGGTTTGATAGGAAAAAAGAGAAACAGAAAAGTTGAGAAAAAGCACTTGTCAATTTCCTTTTAGGCACCGTTTGGGAAAAGTCCAAATACAAATACGCAGTTTTGCATGCATGTCATCATCCTGGAATGAATGCATGACCAATCTCAGTCACCCAGTCACGAGCATACTAGAAAATTGACTTCCCACCCAACAAAAGTTTAACACAGGTCACAGGCTTTTCCAAAATATGAAACAAGAATTTTTTTTCTTTTCATTTCCTCCTCCTTTGCTGAATTAACGAAACTTAGTGTGTACTATGAAACCAAAGTTCAATTCATCTCCTCAGTTACATAAGCATGAATTATACATTTTTTTTTGGAAAAAAAAAACAGCATATCCTCACCCATTAATGTAAGAAAACATTTGATATTTATATAAATATATATGCTTCATCACAACATGCAACAACAAACAACAATGGTAACAGAAAAAATAAAATAAACATTTCCTTATTTTATCAATCCCCTAGTAAGCAATAACCATCCCCTATCCTTCTCCAGATTCACTTCCATTTCCTCAATTCTACCTCCAACCAACAATGTCCACAAATTGACAACCAGTTTGTGGATATGGAATATCCACTCTACACAGTAATAATTAATATATGCAACATGGTAATTACCATCAATAAAAAAAAAGTATATATATAACTTCGTTTGTCTAAAAAAATAGTATACAACTAATTGTTTGATGCAGTATCGGGAACACAATTAATATAGAAATTTCAGCATTGACAAACCTTTGGACCAGACACTGAAAACTTGATCAAGAGAAATGAGATGAGACTTTGGGACCATTCCCAAAACCAAAAGGTGTCGTAGTTGCTTCTTTCCAAACTTGGTTAGTGAGCTCCAATTGTTTATGGATCAAGCATGGGCCATGGGAAGGTGAACTCCTGAAAGACTCGGCTAAGCAATTTCCAAATCAACTCTCAACATCATTTCCTTTTTCCAGTAGATTATTAGGGTAAGCCACTGTAGTAGCTTTTCTAGGGCCCATTATGACCACGGCATCTCAATGAACCCATGTGACCAAAGGTAAGCGGGAGATGAAATTACCAGTATTTTTCTTCATCTCTTTCAAAAAGAAATTCTTACCTCTGGTAAAAGATTTGGATAATCATTCTTAGATGGAGCTTTGTCTCTGGAATTACCCAACGCTGGGTTGGCCTCGTTCCTCATGCTTTGGATACTCTATTTGCCAAAGGGAGAAGACAAAAGAAGTTGGTTGCCAACTTTTACTGGCTGTACGTGATATATATGAAAATGAAAAAAAAATTAAAGATGAAACTCTCCAAGCCTAGAGAAGTGATGACTTCCATGGATGAATGCACCTGTGCAGGATCTGTAGGATTATGTATCCTGTAGAAATTACATAACACTTCTCGCCGTGTCCATACTGGGATTTGACCAACTTTAAACAGAATAGTTGCATGTCTTTTGACAAAAACGCCAAGTTTAAGGATGTATTTTATATTTGACCACTTCTAGTGTTTCTAGTTACTAGGCTAACCAGTGAAACAAGCCAGTTCATCATTAATAAGAAAAAAAAAGCAAGAAAACAGACTAAATCCCACAAATCTTTTATCGCCAAGGTGACACCTAGACAAGCACCTAGTAGCTTGTCACTGAAACAGGGTACAAGGTACTCCACTGTCACATAACTTCAACTTGATGCTTGCTGTGAGGGCCGGGGAGCCACAAAAAACGTGATTTGGATGGAGCAACCACATCAAGCATCTTTTGACCTTTTTTTTTTTTTTGATAATATTATGCTTTGTTTTGTGTAAGCACGTATGAAAATGTAATCGCCCATATATTACCTAAGAAAGCTAGGTTACATAGGTTTATTGCTTCTTTTGAAAATTCCCTCACTTCTTTAGTTCGGTCTCTTTTTCGCCTTGTAAAAGGGCGACTATGATGTGTCTAATGTTTTTAATGAATCCCTCTTGTTTTGCTCAAAAAGATAAAATAAAATAAAAATCAACTTGATTCTTTGACCTCCATGTATTGTGCGGTCAGTGACAATTATCCCCAGAACTTTCACTTTACAATAAATATCCTCTGTTAAAACTCCCTCACTTCAAAAAAATTCTCATTCATCTGTTTAAACTTTTTAAATTCCTAAATTACCCTTTTTATTTATTTGAACGATTTATAATTCAACTAGTTTTCTAAATATAAGATTGAAACCCTCTCAGTTACTCCAATAGGTCCTTGATTCAATATTCAGATGAAATAATAGAAGTTTCTTTTCTTATAGATATAATTTTAAGGTTTCATTTTCTTAATTTATTGGAGAAAGGAGTGGATAATGTTTATATTTTAAGATGAAGAGAGACATTCATGTCAGTGAAATGAAGCAAGACTTTTAAGAAACTTGTTTTTCGACATTAATGAAATGGTCCTTGTTATTTTAACTAGTTTGATTTGAATAAAAGGAGTTTGGGTCAATTAAGATTTAAGAAAAGGGCAAGAAAAAGAAAATAAAAAAGGTTTAGGTCGATATTTTGGTAATTTAATACTATTTGTGGCAACTGAAAGTTTAGGGGTGTAATTGTCACTGACCTATAGTACAGAGGGGTCATTGTAATTTCAATATGATGCTCTGACCACTATGTTGCTTTTCATTAATTTTGTTACTATTGTTGCAAATATATTATAATTGTTTCTGCAATTGGTTTCTGAGAGAACTATAGTGATTGTTTCAATAGGTTTTTTATACAACAGAGATTAAAAATTTAAAACACACGAGAAAAGACACTCCTAAAGCTTCTTCTATCAGGATATGGTGCAGCTCCCTTAAACGAAAGGTTGCCAAGTTGATATCTCCTCGATGTCAGAAACCAAAATAGCCACAAGGTTTTTATTTTTCAGGTTCATATAATTATTACATCAGTACGATCAACTTAGGATGACCTGCCAATTGCATCTTTAATCCAAGACTTATTCAAGTTCTGAAAGTTCATTGCCATTAAAAAAAAAAAAAGCTCCTAAAGCTTACAACTTGAATAAATATCAAACCTCCATCCTCTTGAACATCGTCTGTAAAGGAAAGGAGCAGCTACTTGGGGATTAGTTTGTGCTAAAGGGACAATTAATAACCATATAAACCATTCAAGTATGGTTATCCAAACCCAGACAAAAATGTGGATATGCAAGAAACACTCAATTACAATCATTTAATTTGAAAATAGTGAAGGCAATAACTTCATCGCCTATTTAAGTGCAAAATGAGATTTTTATCTGAAAATAAGTATGGACTACTCTCCAAGATCCATCATAAAAGTGAACTCTACAAATGTACCTTTAATACAGGAACAAGAGGCACATTCCACGGTTCAGAGGCATACAGCATTTCTTTTTCTGACGTTTCAGGTTCATAATGAAACATCTGCAATATGACTCAAAAACTTACAAAGTTGGAAAATTTGGTTCCATGAATGCGCAACTATCACACAGATTGTGAGTTATGACCTTGCAAAGCTTCCTGTAGGCATTTTGCAGCATCTTCATAGTGTACAAAACCCATGAACCAAAATTCATGGTTGTCAACAGAGATAACTTGGATGTATTTTTCAGTACGACTGACTCTGCTTGCTGAAGGGTTAACTGCTTTGACCTGATGAAATGGGATGACCACCTGTTTACAAAATGGAGAAGGAAAGAGAATACTGAATGTTAGTAACCTGCAGCAAGTCTAAAATCTGGGAACCAAAGGTTCATAGATTTATGATAAGGGAGAAGGGAGGAGAAGAAAAACGGGTGGAAGAAACAAGCATGGTGTTGAGGCTTGCTATCTAATACTTGATCTCCTTCTTGGTCCAAACCATTCAGAAATTTCTCAGGAAGAGTATTTAAATAAGTTAAAAGAATATTAGAAAGAACGCATGGATTCCCTTGACTTCTGATGTATTAATATATTTATCATGTAATTGTCTTTCACCTTTAATTGTCAATCCTTAGAATGGCTTAAAACTCTCCTACCATTAAAAGCCATTTAACTCAGCTACTTTAAATGGAGGTGTTTTCCAATTTTGGATACATGCTACTAATAAAGGCCATGGGTTTTGCACATCTTAGGTTGAGAGAAAAAAATAATCACTATGCAGGTAATGGTTGGCTATTTGCAAATAAAGAAAAAAAAAAACTCAGATAGCCCATAGATTAACAAGGGTCTATGAAGAGAGTGATTGTACCTAATCATCTTTTCATTTGGTATTTTGGAACACTGCCATTTCTAATTCTCTTTCTCAGATAGCCTGAGTTGTAACCAAGTTTTTTCTCAATGTTCTCCTAAACTGTGTCCATATCTGGAATCATCCCCCATTGAGGATGCTAGCTCTCACTAGCTCAAACTACATGACATTCTGCTCAGGGATAATTTTCTGTAACTTGCCATTAAATGATAAGTCATCAATGGAATACATACTTTCCAACTCAGTCCACAAAATTTTTTTCTTGTTACCCTGTGCATAGACAAAGATATCAAGTTCCAACTGAAATTTTCTAGCTATATTTGTTTGCTGATACTCTTTCAAGATAATCCCACATCACTTGTTCCCTGAAAGCTAGACGATAAACAATGGCTATATCCAGACCCCAACAGACATGAGATAATCTTTGCATTGTCAATTTCCCATCACTCTAATTCCATGACAAACATATTCAGGTTTGGGTTTGGACCCATCTACTAGTCCCATAGACCCTGCACATAAACAGGAACCAGAACCTCCACATACTGTAATAATCATAAAACTGAATAGATACTATATTTGACTTGTCAGAGGCCCTTAAAATCAGGTTTAATGAACTAAACAACCTTATGACAGATCTGCCACAGTATTTCAGAAAATCAGTACTCTTTGGCATTAAAAACGGAGTAGCCATAGGTGCTTTTTGACCTGGCTACACAAACACCTATGTCCAACAATTTTGGTGGGCTTAAAAAGCTCTAAAAACAATAAAAAACGATATGGAATATAAGTCCCCCCATCCAAGCTCAAAATAATTGAGGATAAATCCACAGCAATACCAAGTTTGTCCCCGTTGATTCTCTGATCTCAGCCCAGTCAAATGATGAGGATTTTGCCTCATTAAAATTCCAGAGAATTTCTAGAATTACTGATTCAAATCCTAAAACTATTTCTCATTAAATTGTAGATCTCAGATCTGTCACCATGGATTCTTTTTTATTGTTTTCAGTCCCAACACTGTTCATGACAGAAATCCCCAAGATATGGGGGATGACTGAATGAAACCTGGTTTTCACCCCTGGTTTGATATGAAGATTCAGATTTCAGAGAAAGAACTTCCTCTCTCTAGAAAAGGTGTGTGGGTGTTGAGAATTAAAGGAAATTGATAGAAGATTTACCTGGGATCAAACTCAGCCCTTTACTTGATGATGAAGGTTTTGCATTGCTTTTTCCCAAGGGGCTGAGAGCTCATAACCTTGAGAGAGATGACAATAGAAGACAAAGGAAAAAGAGATACCAAATAGAATCACTCTAGGGCTTTGGGAATCACTCACAGAAACTCACACAAGTAGAAAAATAATCACTAAAATTCATTACTCACATTTTGTAATTTTACATGTATATATAGGCTGTCTATGGTTGGCCAAACTCATTACAAGACTAGGAAAACTCAAAATTACAATTCTGCTGCTCATGGGACCAACTTAATTAGCCAATGACTCTGAAAATTTAGATGTTATTAATTAAACTAAGACTAGACAAATCAAATTAATAGGCTAGACACCACCTAGAATGATCAAATTGAGGAAAATACCTCTGCAGGTTAAAAAAAATACAGAAATACATAGAAATTTAGAGAATTCCATTTTTTGACCTGCCAGCTCCTTCAGGCTACATCTCTAGGTCTGCTCAGGTCCCTAAAGTAGGAAACCGTCCCCCCAAGGTGGTAGTTAAGCCCATAACACAAGATCAAGCAAAGGCATGAATCAACCTGAATTTCCAGGGGTATCGTGGAAAATAGAAACTCGTGGTAGAGAGGGCAGCACTTCCCCCCTCTAGACCCACACCCAAGTTGGAAACCCTTCAGCAATGAGGCCCCAGATGCAATCACTAAGAACTAGACCTAGTCCAAATCCATAAGCCATCTACCAAGAGTGAATAAAGCACGATAACATACTTTCCCAACTTCAAAATTAGAAGCATGTTGAAACCACTCATCCACATCTCATCTTGAACCCTGCCCAAAAAAAGGAACCCACAAGGAAAATTCTTGCTTCAACAAATTCAAAAGAAAGTGTGGTGTGTGAACTCATTGCTCTACATGTTTAAGCTATCTTTGTATTTCTTGATTGTGAAAGTAAGGGAGTGGACCCTAGAGTTATACTTTTCAAGGCACCAATAGGAGGCTAAGCGACAGGGGTACCTTATTGCCTAGTTGCTTAGGCATGGCTTTTTCTTTTTGAATAAAAACCATAAATCCTTGGACAATTTCCTAGGTCCCATAGCAAGCAGCAACCACCTTCCACTATTAATTGTTTATCACTTTATCATAAAAAGTGTATAAACTGCATTTAAAACATAGAAAATCAACTTATTCATGAAAAAAATGGAAGAAAGAAAATAAATTTCAGAAAATAGAATGGCTCAGCCTCTATTTTTACACAAGGAAGAAAAGAAAAGAAGGGACGAAAGAGTTAGAAGAAGAAGAAGAAGAAGAAAATACTAAATACTAATACTAATAATAATAATCAATGTGTTGATTAGATAAAATTAAGTTCTTCCATGCTTATCGGTTCAAGTTTTGAAGTCTTCAAGGGTTCAAGACATTATACATGTTAATTGTAGTGTTTTAAAAGTACAAGACACAAAAAAAGTGCAAGGGACATTTTGCGCACGACGAGTGAGGCAGATGCCTTTTTGAAGCAAGGTGCAAAAATACAAAAAAAAAATAAAAAATGTCAAAATTTAAAAAAATGCAAATATTAAATGCAATATTAATTAAAAATATAAACTTAAACTTTAAAATAAATGTTTTAAAAAACCTATTATATCAAATAAAAATACATAAACATAACATGTAAAACATATTTAAAATGAAAATTTAAAAATAAATTCAAGTATAACATATTAACATATTCAAGCATGTAAATTCCTAATCTCTTTATTTTTTTTCCCAACTGCATTACTACAAATAGCTAATGTGATGTTAAACATTATGCATTCCTAATTCTATGAGCTGTCTTTGTACCAAGCCCCTTGAGGCAAGCCCAAAAAAGTCCATATCAAGGCCTTAAATTCTTAATCCCTATAAAAAAAGGTTTTATAACTTAAAATGTCTTTTAAAAATATCTTTTATTAGGATGAATGAATAAGCAACATTAGCAAATATGGGGACCTGAAAAAAGGCACAAATTTTCGAAAGGCACACACTTCAGATAAAGCGCAAGGCACACCAGGCTCCAAGCATGCACCTTTTGAAAGTACTGCACCTAGGACCTAGGCAAGGCACATACCTTGAAATGCGCCTCGCTTGTGCACCTAGGCACGCCTTTTAAATCACTACTTGATTGAATCCTAACAAATAAGAAAATAACAAAAAGAAACAAGAGTTTTAACTCAAATTGAATAATTTTTTGACAAAAGGTTAACTTCTACAAAAGAAAAGAGAAGGATGTACAAAGCTTTAGCAAGGCTATCAACACACTATTAATCTTTAGAAAGGTCTTCAAAGATTTGACGTTTTCTCAAATGAAATCAAAGAGATCTCAAAAAGAGTTATTTGAAGTATTAGCAAGTCAAACCGAATAATTCAATTTAATAATGTTTGCTTTAATATTATAATCTCAAAAAGTTAAGAATATAAAGGTATACAAGAGCACCCTATATGAAATATCTTAGTGATCAAGCATAGGGACCCTCTATATAAAAGTATACAATCATGTTTGGTGTCAAATTTTCAATGTCAAACATGTCAATTGAGTAAACAATGTAGAACAACTTTTCATTCAAGTAATAAAAGAGCAAATTTCCCTTTCCATATTATGCATTTTGATGTCTGGGGGTCTACTACTATAACTTCAAAGGGTGGATACAAGTACTTTATCACACTGATTGATGATTTTCTCGTTATACATGGATATTTCCCATGCATACCAAAGACGAAGTCCCAAAGATTATAAAGGACTTCCAAATGATGTGTGAAGAAACTCCTAATGTACCATTTTATTGTAATCCTTATTGTATTGTTTCTCTTATTTATTATTATTTTCACTTCAGCCCTACAAGGGCCTCTCTGTAAATTCTCTAAATTGTGTTGCCCTACAAGGGCCTCTCTATAATTTCTTTAATTTCACTTTCTATATAAAGGACCCTTGGGGTAGGGTCGAATCATCCATTCTTCATCCCTATAATTCTGTACTCTACTCTGGGTCTGTTGACATAGTATCAGAGCAGGCTGCTCTATAATCTCTGCTCTTTCCTTGCTCATTCGTTGGGCATATTAGGGCTTTTTGTTCTCAGGGTGCTTTGGCTGGTGTTAGGACTGTTCTCTTTAATCCTAACCCTTGTTCCTCTTGAAAGCTTCTGTCTAGAAGGATTTCTGACCAGTTGTCGCCCAGAACCTTCTTCTTTCTCTCAGAAAATCAGCGGACAAGTCTTGGAGGAGTTC